TGTTGATAGTTTTCAGGGATTAGGAAAAAATTTCTTAAAGGGGGGTGACCTCATTAAAGACTGAATTATGACATTCACGAAATCTGTCTTCTGGATGTTATTCAGCCCAACTAAAGATTTCCCAAGGATATTTCATATATAATAATAAAAACATCAATGAAGGCTGTAACAGGTAATATATCAATACTTTATTATAATTCAATAATATGCAACATATTAAGTACCATTCCTGGCAAGTAATCGGAACCATCAAGCGCCCTAGACCACTGCTTATTCTTGTCAAGCTGTTCAACTTGTTTCCTAGTAAACCTGCATATACATGGTACCCAAAAACCAAAATATTACAACAATTTAGACTTGAGCAATCTGGAAGAGAGGAGACACATGCCTTCACTCGGGTTTCTGCGCACAAAAAAGCTGTTCTGGAGAATTTTAATAGGATTACAAACAAAAAAGGTGTAACAGAATTAATCAAATAAACGAATACCTTGGATTAAGGACATGACGAATATCATCTAATGAGGGATCATTAATTTCATATCCATCAGGAAGACAATAAACTTTCTCTGTTCTAAGATTTATATAGACATGATGTCCCGCTTCCAAGCTATGAGTATATGCATGGGATTTCTGTCCTCTTCCTTGGTAATACTTCCCACAGACAAGACATGCATAAACATTTAAATTTGACAAAGAGACAGAGCAAAACTTCTCAAAGTCAAAATCCAATACCTGCAGAAACATAAACTAGTATTTAAAATTAATTTCTTAATAATCAAAGTTTCTGGATAAAAAGATGTATACTTAATGAAACAAAGACGTAGCTACATATAACTTGTAGTAATTTCTGGAAATCCAAGTGCATAACAACTTGATAAAAACAGTATTCTTCAGTAATAAAATTGAGAAGATCACCTGGCGATTGACAGTATCAAGATATGGACAGTCCCTTCGTATTTCAATCTGGCGGCTTAGTCTACCTTGACCGACTCCTTGGTCATGTGAAGCATCATTACCTTCCTCACCCTCATCCTCATCATATTCTTCACTTTGAGCTCCCTGACCATTCTGCTCTATCCTGGCAATTCTATTATCTTTTCCTCCACCATCACGAGCTGTTTCCTTTTGCTCATAATCTTCCTCCTCATCATCATCATTGTAAGTATTAGCCAAAGGTAAGAGTGGATTTTCAAAGCCAAGTGGTGGAGGAGGCGACGCTGATCGCTGAAGCACTCTCTGCTTCTTTGAGCCCCTTTCTTCCTCTCCCATGCTATCACTATCTTCTCGTTTTGTTTTCATGTTATTTACTTTCCTTGAATTTCACAATTAACAGAAATTACATCACAAAAAACTGACTTTGTTAAAGCACTTCCATTTCTGAAGTTCTCTTCTATAGAAAATGTATACACCAAATATCAATGTTTGTTTGTCTATAAACATGTTTACACAAATTTATGCCCCGTTGGTATATCCATTAAATACATAGAGAAATAGATAGAAATGTTTCTGCAAATCTATCAGCACATCAGTTTTGTTCAGGCAATTAATGGCATAAGAATGAAATGATGAGAATAATTTAACACCGAGAATACAATCAAATATAAGAAATACATATAAAAATTACATAAATAGAAACCCAGAATTCTTATCAGGGTATGGGGAGTAGATCACTCTTTTTTTAATTCCATTTTCCTTTACTTTTTCAGCAAATAAACAAGAGACCAAAAACTTATCAAACACTTCTTATCACATCTAGATGTCATAGAAGCTCTCCAAAAAAATCAAGATTAAAAGTCACTATTGATCCTTTAAGCAATTAGATACACAGTTTTTTAAAATACATCAGGTACCAAAATATGCACCACTTAAATAGAGATCTAAGTCTAAGAAACAAACAAAACAGGTGTAACAACCCAATGAACATTAAAGTTTAAAATCATAAATGACAGGAATCATCACTGATCCGATTGGGAGCTGGATCAGACATTTGATATTACTGCTAATTTTGTCAACTCAGCCCCTTTACACTAGTATAAACCCCCATTCAGTGTCCATTTATTCAAAATTATAGTGCCAAATCATCTAATTTTCTTTTGAGTGGAATCAAATGATCTAATTTGAAGCAACTAAAGTCTCTAAAAAGCCAATTTCATTTGCAGTTTGAAATCTCAAAAAACATGGCAATGAAATATCATTAAAGGCAATGCACGCATATAATTGTGCAAACAATGACATTAACAAGGTAATGCTCTTAATGGTGCAAAGGTTCTACAGAAACCATTGAAGTTTCTAGAATTTGACGGGGTCCTCAATAATCCATTTTAGGATGGAATTAGGCACTAAAAGATGCATTAGTCTAGTCCAAAAGATTTTAAGTTCAGACAATGATAGTGTATAAAAAGTGATGAGGCACTCATCTGGTGGTATTGGCTAAAAACTTTGGCTCATTATTTCTAAACAAACAAATAATAAAATTAATGACATGCAAGGATCTAAAATGAAAGAGAATAAATGTCAAGATCTTGAAAATATGTCATACAACTTGTTTAAAGTCACAAAACAACCATATTTCTATTTCTTTTGCGCTTAAATGTTTAAAAGATGTCTCTTATGAATGTCTAATAGGGCCACATCTGAGTAAGATATTACTACCACCTACTTAAGATCCCAAACTACGGACAAGTCAGCAACTATCTTACATAAGCAATGGTTTTAAAGTGTGGAAAGAAATGAAAAATGCCAAGTATGCCATTATCTTATAAACTACGTTCAAAGGGAAATGTTTATTCAAAGAGACTCTTTCCTCAATTTTCTTTAAAACAGTGACCAAACCCTCATAAAAACCAACTAGCTTTGAGTGACAACCCAAAACTTAAACTCCACCGATCATCGACAGCCCCATTTCTCTTCTCTTTTTTAAGTAAATTGGAAACACTGACACAGTCTAAAACACCAAAAACTAAAATCCAAAACAAACTAAATATACCAGCGAAAAAGAAAACAAGAAGAAGAAGATCAAAACCATATTTAAGATAAAATCAGAAAGCTGAAACAGATTTACAATACTAAACAAGCTTGAAATAGACCTAGGACTTGAAGGAGTGGCAACCATATTAAAGAAAGAAGAAACCAAGATTGACCCCAAAACTCATATTGACCATGCAAAATCCCAAGGGAATGCAAAACATTCTTCATCCCCAAAGAATGCCATTGTCTGATTTAGTCAAGGATAACTGTTTTAAAGGATTAAAGCACATTGAAACAACTACTTTATTGCCCATTTTTGAAACCTGAAGCAATCTGTGCAGGTTTCCAAATAACAAAACTAACTTCCCTTTTATTCCTCCCGCCATTCAACAATAATCAATTACTCATTCATGAGGTAGCATCCACAATATAGCAAGGAGAGACATCCGTATTTTTTAGTCTTAGATTTATATATATATGGGCATTCTGGTTTACCAGATATGTATCAATTCATGAACACCTTGGTCCAAAAGAAAAACACAAAATAAATGGACTACACAGGGAAATATCCAAGAAATCCACTGCCCGTATAAAGCTTTTAGTATCCTACCGTAAGGACTGCTTAAAGGACTCTGGCGAAGACCCAAAACTTATTTCAAACTTCTGGATTAAAACTACCATTTCTAAAAAAATAAAATAAAACAAAATAAAAAAAGAAGAAAGGAAAAGGAATTACTGAATCCCAGGACATCTGGAATATCATTTTCTTAGATAAAATCTGGAATATCATTCAAAAGAACTGACTATTGATATTAAAAGATGACATGGATTTGAAGATTGAGCCTTAAACAGACTACAGGCCTGAACAAAACTTCCCAAATCAACCACATCATGACCCTAAATTAACTGACGTCAGACTCACATACCCAAAGGCTCTGAAACTTAAGGAGTCATACAGTCCTTATAGAATGAAGCTAACTATGATGTTTAATTCTCAAACCAAACCCAAAATCAACGTTAAAAGAGATGAAAACCCAGACTCAGGCTAGTACAGATTAATCAAAGAGAGGAGAGGGATGCATTATTGGCATTTTCTCAAACAGATCCTATGGAACAGATACATTGATTAAAATATCCAAGCATGCTCAGGCACAATACTACAATCTAGAAGGGATCATTATTATAGTAAAGGAAAAAGACCAAAACATAAGCAACAGCAATAATTTGAGGGTTTGGACTGAAAAAACATCACAACAGCTTTTCACTTATCGTTGCAGAATCAAACCGAAACAGATCCATTACTGGGCATCATTCAACTTAAGAGAGCAGAGATTACATATTGAATAAGAACATTACATGAAGACTTTACCTAATGGAGGCCCAAGCTGATAATGAGCTGTCTTGGTGCTTTTCTCCTGTTTTGATAGCTTCTGGGATTTTCGCCAAAGTCTCCTCTGATCTCTGTGCAATGAATGAAAGGAATGGGAGAAAGAAACTCTCTCCCTCTATCACTTCTCTTTATTTCTCTCTTTCCTCCGAATCACCTGTCTCTCCTTTTAACTCCCTCTCTCCAAAATCCAATTCTACTATCCTTACTTTCTGTTTTATTTGGCTGCTAATGAACCCTCATTTCTTCTTTTTATTTCTCTCGTTGCTAATGAACTCTCTCTCCTTTTTCTCCCTCTCTCTTACCCCTTCCAGAAACCCTCGCTCTCTGTCCCGACCGTTCTGTTCCTCTTCTGCTCGCCGCTCTGTTCGTTTGTTCTCAGAAGCACCGACCTTCCCTCTCCTGCTTCCTCTCTCAAATTCTAACGATTGCCCTTTCCGGATTCAGTTAATCGGTTAAACCGGTCCGTTCGGTTTCTCGCATGCACCTAGTGTTCACCTTTTCTGCTAAACACTTCACTCTCTGCTAAACCTCGCTTTCTCTCCACTTCTCTAATCAGATGAGGGAAAGCCTCCCAGTATCCAAGAAGAAGCTCTAGATCCCCCGAGAGACAGAAGAACAATTTCTCTCCCCTTCTTTCGCCTATTTTTCGAGAAGAACCTCTAAAACTTCTCCATCCCCCGTCTTCCTTCACTTTTTATCTTCGTCAACATTTCTTTTAATCAGTTGTTTGGGCCAGAAATGATTAGCCTTGACATTTATTTCTTTGGGCTTCCATGGCTGGTTTCATCATAAGTACCGTGGATTTGAAATGGATCACCATGAAGAAACTTAAGCTTAAACAATTTTTTGGGCTAGTAATCTGGACCAAAATATTTCATCATCATTATTAATATCAATTAATTTTTAATTTCAGCACAAACTGATTGACCATATAATAGTTGAAACGACGTTTTTCATTTGCGATTTTTACCATTTTGTTTTGTTTATTTCTTTATTATTATTAAACATAAAACTTAATGTTTTTATGGTATTTATTACTATTTAATATTTTTATGATATTTATAACTTTCATCTTAAAAAACCAGAGACTCTCCACTACCACTCAAAATATATTTTAAAGGTTTTTTTTCTTTGTTAAACTTATAAGTTATTACTAGAGTGTATTCAACATATATTGAAATTGTTCTTTATATTTTATATAGGCATGGTTAGATGATTGTAGACTTTTAACCAATATTTTTGTGGTACAATGATTTTATAATTTATTTAAAAAAATTAAATTCTTTTATTAATTAAAATAAACTTCATCAATGAGAAAAACTTAAAATTTGATCTATATCTTGTAATCTCTCAGGGGTAACAACATTTTTTTCATTGTTGTTAACTTATTAAGTTATGTAAATGTAGTATAAAAGAGGAAGAATTTGGAATGTAGTTCAATTGTTCTTTCATGTTTTCATTTTTCAACAAATGGGTTTAATATATGTTTTACTATATATAATAGGTTATCGATTTATGAGTCCGTTTAAAAGTAATTAAATACAGTTAAATAGAATTAGGTCTTAATGCATCAAGTTTAGGCATGAGCTTAATATGTACGGATACTATTTTTATAATTTTTCGTTTTATGATGAACAAAATGAAAAATGCAAAAATATGTCGACATAAATAGACAACTATAGTTTTCGAATCACACGTGTATCATTTTATTTTTTTTGAAATTTTGTCACCAGAGAAAAATAGTTTTTGAGGTCGTATGTTGATTCGGAAGTATCTACCACATGATGTAATCCAATCTTCTGCATTAGATTCATGTGCGCTTCTGTTTATTCTTTCTCATTGATTCGGTACGAAATTACATGTTTAGACTTATCATATCTGATTTATTTGAAATTTTTTTCTAATAATTAGTATCAGAGCCAGGTTCGTATTGAATTTTTGAGATTCAATTTTTTTTTATTTTAAAATTTGTATTCAAAATTCATGATTAAAAATATAAACATATATATAAATTAATATACATATACATGAATGAAATTCTTAAAACGAAGATGGGGCTGAAGCCGTTGCATGAAGAAATAACATGTGTTGTGGCCATAGCCACAGTAGAAGAAAGAAAAGCAGCGGCCAACCGCCCCTACACGAAGAAAAAAATCGAGCGACAGCCATGGCTGCCGCATACGAAAGAAAAATGTAAAAACTCGGCCAGATCTGCTTCCGTAGAGGATCGGCCCTGTCACGCGACCGTTTAACAACCGAAATGGTTGTCAAATATCGCGTGTACTGGTCGATTTTTTCTAGTCGTTACAGAAGTAGCCCAAATGCCTTCGGGCGTGAGGAAAAAGAAGGAGAAAAAAAAAAATTAGTTAGGCTTCGAACCAAAGGCCCAAAATGGTTTTCTTTGGGTTTTCTTTTAAATTTTAATTTGAAGTTATATGAGCTTAGATCCCAAAAAAAAGGAAGAAGATAATGAAAGGAAAAGAAAATAGGCTTGCTTGTACGTGGCCCACATCTCATACGGGTTTCAGGCTGGGCCGACCCGCCTAGTACCCGACCCTCTTGACCTGATCGGAAGTTGATTGGTCAATGGTCAACATTGACTTTGACCAATTAACGGTCAACCCTTTTTCCTAAAAAAAATTAAATTTTTTAAAGATATTTTTTAGTCATTTATATGGTTGATTTTCTTTCTAATTCAGTCTAAATTTGATTTTAATTCTGAATTTAAATATTGGTATGTGTATATGCATATTGAAATAAATCAATTTAGACAACATGTCACCAAAGTGAAATTTCTTATGGATTATTTATTTATTTGATAATGTAATGATTGCATGGGTGAATTTATGTGAATATTAATATGCCCAAGTGAATGTTAATATTTAACATTATTATATTCTATTTATTGTAATAAATACGTAACAATTATTCAGTATAATATGTGAACTTTAAATCGGTCTAAAAAAGATATTGCTTGATGTGTTTTTATTATTTGTATTTAATTAATGTTATAGGGTACTACTTATAAATTAATATTATGTCAAAAGATAGAGTATTAATGGAGTGTTCGGTATCTTAAGATAAGATATATCTTTATTTAAAATTTATTATTGAAGTTTATGGTTTAATATTTTTATGTGTTCGGTATTTTGAGATGAGATATATCTTTATTTAAAATTCATTATTAAAGTTTATGGTTTAATGTTTTTATGTGAGTATTAATTAATTTATTTATTTTTATGTGTTATTTGTTCATTTTCCTTTACTGTTAGGAGTATCACCGCGAATGTGAATTTCATCCCAATGCTGAACGGCACAAAATTCAAGTAATGGAAGAATAATGTTCAACTTGTACTTTAAGTTGTGGATCTGGATTGGGCTTTTTGAGTTAACCAACCCAATCAGATTACTCGTGACAGTACCCCTAAGGAAAAAAAAGAGTTTAAAAAATGAGATCGGTCAAACTGTATAAGTACGTTAGTTATGGAACATGTTATTTTAAAAGTTTTTTAAGATACTATATCTGATAAGATCACAACAAGTAGAGATTTCTTTTATTCTCTATAATAATGTTTCGTCAAAAGTGATAAGGTCGAGACATGTACATTTTTGTTGACTCTTAATTTTATGAGGTAAGGAAATGGAAACATCAGAGAGCACATAATGAAGATATCACATGTGCATGCAAAGCTCAAGGCACTTAGAGTGAATTTTTTTGAAGAAGTATTTGTGTACTTTATTTTGATTTCTCTTCCACCACAATTCAATTATTTCAAGGTGACATACAACTGTCAGAAGGAACCATGAAATTTGAATAAGCTCATTTCACTTTGTATTCAAGATGAGGAAAAGCTCAAGTTTGAGAAGACAGAGAGTACTCATTTGGCATTGATCTAAAAGGATAAGAAGAATAAGAAAAAGAAAACAGGTAAATCTGTTGTGGGCTCCCAGTACAACAGAAGAAGTAACAGAAGGGTTCAGACCAATTTTTTTTTTTTTTTTCTGTAAAGCTCTGGGACACCAAAAGAAGCAATGCGCTAACTATTATGCGTGGCATACAAAGAAATGTATGTTTCTTAATTTTGTTTATTTTGAAGTTAATTTAACTTTTGTACCTACAAACACCTGGTGGATAGATTCTAATGCCACAACTCATATCAGTATGTTTATGCAAGATTGCCTCCATTGTCGCAAGTTAAATGATGGTGCCATATTCATTTATGTGGGCAATCGTAAACCAGTCGAGATGGAAGCAATTGACAAATTTAGATTATTGTTAAAAATTAGATTTTATTTGAATTTAATAGAGATTTTTACTCTATTGTCATTTAGATAGAATGTGATATATTTCTGTATTGGATTAAGTTGGGTATTCATGTTCATTTAGAAATGAAAAATTTAGTATTTTTCTTAATTCAAATCTAGTTAGTTCTGGTTCTTTATCAGTGCATGATAATCTTTATCTGCTTGATACAATTGCTTCTTGTAATGAATCATTATATGTTAATATAAAAGTTGTAAAGAGAAAATTAATAAAGGAAAATTTTGATTCATTATGGCATAAGAGATTAGGTCACATCTCCCAAAAGAGAATTAAGAAACTTGTGTCAGATAGAATTATAGATCATTTTGATTTTATAGATTTTGACAGATGTGTCCATTATATCAATGGGAAGTAGAAAAATATTAAGAGATTCGATGTCAAATGGCTATGGATGTAGTAGAACTCATTCATATAGATACTTGTCAGTCGTTCCCTATGGTTTCTTATATTGGTCAATAATATTTTATAACGTTCATAAATGATTATTCTAGATATAGCTAAGTCTCAATCCTTTGATGTGTTCAAGAGTTTTAAAACAGAAGTTGAGGACCAACTCAACAAAAGAGTTAATGCTGTTATATTTGACTGTGGTGATGAATACTATGGTAGATCTTATGGATCAGGTGAACAGTGTTCAAGGCTGTTTGTTTGATTCCTAGAGAAATGCAGTATCGTCCCATAATACACCATGTCAGGTTCTCCTAATATTAATGGTTTCGCTGAAAGGCAAAATATAACATTTAATGATATAGTGAGAAGTATGATTAGTCATTCTACCTTTCATGAATCACTATGGGAAAAAGCATTAAAGACTGCAACATATTTACACAATAGAGTTCCAACTAAATTAACTACAAAAGCCCCTTATGAGTTTTGGATAGGTAAAAAGTTTAGTATGAGATATTTGCATATTTGGGAATGTCTAACTGAGGCTAGGCCTTATAGGCCATAAGAAAAGAAACTAAACTCAAAAACTATTAATTGTTATTTTGTTGATTATTCTGAACAATCCAAAGGTTACAAGTTTTATGATCCTACTGCTAAGATAATTTTTGAGCCAAAAAATATCCAGTTCTGTGAAGATGTTGAGTTTGGAGGGGGGGGGGGGGTAAAGAGTTTGAGATCTTCTCTTTGAAGAGAGATGGGTCGACGTTTCTATTCCCTCAGTTGCTCTTGACAATGATCAGGGTTAGATACTTATACATAGCATTGTTCAAGAAGCAAATCCAGATAAAAATAATGTCATAGCATCTCACGTTCCTGTTCAAAAAACTATTCCTAAAGCACAAACTTCACACTCTCAAGAACCTATAGCATTAAGGAGACTAGAGAAATGAGAAGTATAATTCTAGATGATTATATTATATTT